CCCCCCCCCCCCATTTAACAAATTTCAATCGAAGACGACCTTCCTCCGACATTTTGTTTTGTTCAGGTTGAATGAAGAGGATAGACCGATGTCGAGGGAACGAACCCATTCTGATACTTGGCTCTCTGTCAACTCTAAGATTGTTAAGGTACAGGTTGACCCTCAAACAGAGAAGAATTTAAAGACGACCTAAAGCTACTAGAATTCATTATTTTTATTCATTTACAAATGATTTTTGTCTCAATCTATAGTATAGATAATCTGCAGTCGCATTTCCGATTCGGAGTGGTATGATGGGTACCTATGTAAATCGGACATGCCACTCATACAAATAAAAGATAGCTTGAAATTATACGTCGTACACTACACAGCCCCTTTAAGTCTCGTCATTTGATGGTATTGTCTATACGATACTAAGCAGAAATATTTTTTAATGAAAGAAATTAAAAATAATCGTATTTCTTAAATATATTTCTGTGAAATAAGTAAGAGAACAGCCATTGATTGTAAAGGAAAATGGCTAATCGTTGAAGACGACATTAAAATATATAAAGTGTGATTATTTGTTGTATACAGGTTTTACCGCTGGAGGAATCAGGACCTATCATTAAATTCGAGGAGAAGGAGAAGGATATTACCAGGTGCTTTACAAAACTACTTGTTAGTGCTTTTCGATTCCTAAATATTTAATTTTCACACACTTTTATTTATTAAGTTTTTTTTCAGATGGACTCTGGTGTATATTGAGTTTATTGGAAATGTTGTAATTCTTGTAATTATAGTATTGTTTACTTCAATCTACTGGCTGGTGGGACTACTCATCATGTATAATGTCATCTATTTATAAACAGGAATTCAAGGCGCTCAGGGGAGGGGTGGCGGAAGGCCAACCACATCAATGTCTCGTACAAGCCACATTATTCTCATTTTCTCGTCCGAGCCACCTCAAAATTCTTGTCCTTCCAATATTATTTTTTTAAGCTTGTCTAATCCTCCCAGATAAAAATATTTTTTAAGAATCGGGCCACGTTCCAGGACATTAATGAAATATTGAATTTTTGTAAATCGAAAAAAATGTGGCTTGGACTAGAAATTGTTGTGGCTGGCCTTCCTCCCCTTCTCAGGGCGTGCTTTGATATTTGTCACCTCTACCGTTCTACGGTTCTACGTGTATGATCTAAATGGAATTTTAAGTTCAATATTGTGTTTTTCGAATAGGGATACGCCTGTAAACAAGAAAATAAAATTGATCTGGACAAATGAGAGACAAAAATTTGGAGATTTTTTTTTCTTTCCACAAACATATGCCAATTTTCCAAGGTAGGTTGCATGCTATCAAGACCTAATCAACTTTGAAGTGTTGCAACGCCTTGGTTTTTAGACCTTACCAACTCACTACTTTTTTATGCATATAACAACCATAATATGCTTGTTCATTGCTTGAATTTAAAGGGATTAATTGGCCAAATGCCAATTTCTTGAGAGGGTATATATTTTGGAGCATAAAACCATATATTATAGTGCAATATTGTATTGTAATTATATATCTAATTAAAAATTGTCTATATCAACTATTAATGTTATATATTCATTCTGAAGTAAATATTCGAAATACGCAAGATAATATAGACTTATAATACAGAGTTTCCCACGAAAAATGACATAAGCAAGACGACTAAAAAAAGTTGTCTTAGAATTTGTATTTATGGGTGACATTCACTACTCAACCTACTTTTATATTTTATGATTCATTGAAATGTCGATGACCACCAAATTCTCCTAGTGTTGGCATTTACAATATGTGGTCTGCCTGTTCCAAGAATTTTGGATTTATTTAATAAAATTAAAATCTGAACGAAATTCATAATATTGAAAGCACAAAAAGATAGATTTACGAATAAATGCCGCAACTTATTTCAACTATTAAAGACGATCTAATATTTGTCTTGCTGCTGTCATGTTTCGTTGGACACCCTGTATCTTGAGGATTTTATTTAAGCTAAAACCAGTGTATAAATGTTGTCGTATTTAATCTGGATGCAGTGTATAAATGTCGTCTTATTTAAGCTGAATACAATCTATAAATGTCGTTTTATCTAAGCAAACTTTTTCAACTTTTTCTTGTTTTAAAGAAAAAAGTAAAATAAGATTGTAAACGAGAAACACAGATTTCAGCCAAAAAACATTTACTTTATTGAAAAAAAACTTTTTTTTTCTGAATTATGTGTTTTCCAGGTGAAAACACTTTACTAGACCAACCATCATTTGTATTCCTAAATTTTTAGACATTTATCCGAGTTTGAATAAAAAAATTATTTAAACTTTTTTATTTTTGTCTTTTAAAGTTTTACAGATTAACTCTTTTAAGCTTTAAATTAATAATATAATAAAGCCTCTAAATAAAAGCTTGTCAACAAAATGTGAATATATATAAAATTGTATCTTAATAAATGTGAACAAATTAAGTTACAAATTCCAGTTACTTCCTTAACTGCTATCGGGAATCGTAATTTTTAGAGATAAAAAAATTAGGGAATTGTGTGTGTGTTTGAGAGAGATTGAGTGGTTGTTTCAGAGAGATTGAGTGGCTGTTTGAGAGATATTTTATTTGTGTTTGAGAGAGATTGTTTGTGCGTTTGAGAGATATTTTATGCGTGTTTGAGAGAGATTGTTTGTGTTTTTGAGAGAGATTGTATGTGTGTTTGAGAGATATTGTATGTGCAGTGTTTTAGAGATTTCATGTGTGTTTGGAAGATATTGTGTGTGTCGTTGAGAGATGGATTGAAAGTGTGTTTAAGAGATAGTGTATGTGTAATTGAGAGATATTGTATGTGTGTTTAAGAGATATTGTACAGTGATAGGCGATTATATCAATACAAGGAAGACGACTTTCGAAGTAAATTTTGATTCAAATCAAGCTTTTAAACAGCTTGGATACACATAAACATAAAAGAAAGAGAAGCTGTTTATCAAAAAAGCTTATTTTTGATTACTCTAAACTTGTAATTCGAATATGTTAACATTCAAAACTTAAAGAAAAAAGTCGTCTTCTTTGTATTGATTTAATCGCGTACCACTGTATTTTTTTGAGAGATATTGCATGGGTGTTCGAGAGATATTGTATGCTCTGTGATTCTAAGGCCTTTAGCTCTCAAGCAAATATCAATGATAATCTTGCCAATTACTTCTTAAAAACCATAGCTAGCAAGAAGTGCTATAGTGCTAAAAAAGAATAATTGAGTTAGAGCGGTAAAATCAAAACCCAAGGCGTTGCGACACTTCAAAGTCGGCCCTGTCTTAAAAATTGATAAGACTTTCTATAAGCGGGCTGAATCTATGTTTATGTGTGTTTGAGAGAGATTTTATGTGTGTTTGGGAGATATTGTGTCTGTGATTGAGAGATATTTTATGTGTGTTTGAGAGAGATTGTATGTGTGTTTGAGAGAGATTGTATGTGTGTTTGAGAGATAGAATATTGTATGTGTGTTTGAGAGAGATTGTATGTGTGTTTGAGAGATAGAATATTGTAGTGTGTTTAAGATATAATGTTTTTGTTTTTAAGAGATATTGTATGTGTGTTTAAAAGCTATTGTGTGTTCGTTTAATAGATATTGTATGTGTGTTTGAGCCAACATGTATGTGTAGTTGAGACATGGAATGTATGTGTGTTTGAGAGATAGATGGGGTGTGTGTTTGAGAGATATTGTATGCGTGTTTGAGAAAGATTGTACGTGTGTTTGAGAGAGATTTTATATGTGTATGAGAGAGATTATTTGTGTGTTCAAAAGAAAATGTTCTTTAATGAGAGAGTTTGTGTTTAATAAAGAAAGTAAAATACAGATTTTGGTTTCGTAAAGAATATGGTACTTTGTGTTTCTAAGAGGAAAAGAGTGAGTGTTTGAGTGAAAGATAGAGAGAGAGAGTTGTGTTCAGTTAAAAAAAGAGAGAGAAAGAGAGAGATTGTGTATCCCTAAAATTCTAATCTAATCCTAGTTATGATGAATTCCGAGGCTGTATCCTCACAGCCTCATATTTCTAGGTTTGTATTTGCTAGAATTTCTAAAGGACATCCCCCTTCCTTCCCCCCTCCCTTCCACCCCTCTCCCCCACCAGGGTGCCATAGCCTCCAACCTCTAAATAAGAAGAAAACAACCTCCAGAGGATATAATTAGTTACCCCAGCCTTCCCGACTAATGAATAGCACCGGCCTCTAATCAGGAGGCCGTGCTAACTAATTTGAGGCCAGGCTCCGCTATTTCAGCCTCTCATCTGCTAATGAGAACCTCGGAACCGAGGCTGCCCTCAGCAAAATCCAAACCAATTTAAACCAATCACAGACAGGGCTCATTAGAGACTCCTTTCACTCATTAGACAACCCTTGAATTAGCCCTTTACAAAAAAAAGTTTTATATTCAAGATTATAACGGTTATAACATTATATTTTCAAGCTACGTGTTCATGATGTTTTGTAGTTATATTTAAAGATAAATAAATCACGAAACCTCTCATCTCGGGATTATTTTCAGTCACGGGAAATAACCTTAAACGGAGAAGTAACATCATACATATATTCTAACAATCATAGAATAATATGTAACGGAATTGAGTCTTTGCCACAAACTCAGATTTTCTAATCCCTAAACCCAATCTCGCAGACCTGT